CGCTCTCACTATATCGTTATCAAAACTGCTAAAAAAAAAACAAAAACACAAAAAGCAAAACGAAAAGACTTAAATAAGTATATATATATATTACATATGTATAGCTAGTTTTGTTAAAACTAGAACTTGTTTTTATACCAGTTATCTTCTAAAGACTTATCTATTGATTTTACTTCCACTTGCGGAAAAAAACACAAGACCTTCAGAAGATTCCGTTCAATGTTTATGAATTAATTCAATAAGCAAAGCTATCGTAGTGGCAATGCACCGTTGCAATATTTTTTTGTTTTTCGAATACAGACAAACATAGTCATAGCTTAATGGGATTACGCGTCGATTCATTAACAATACACGATTGCATACTAATTTTTTCAATAAGAGCACCGTTTAGGAAAGAACTCGGCGTTACAGATTTATAATTTTTATTGTTTACTTTGCAATTTGCAATTTAATAGCAATTCGTTCTCATATGCAAGCATTTGCTAAATGAAATGCAAAGTTCAGACGCTTTCTTTGTTTTGAAAAGCTGACAATGAGAAATGAATGCAACTATAAATCACCATAGATAGATTTCGAATAATTTGAGCAAATATGTTTACTATAGATAAAATTTGTAAAATTTTAAAATTAATTTTACAAATTTATCTATAGTAAACATATTTGCTCAAATTATTCGAAATCCTATCTTATGGTGATTTATAGGTTGCATTCATTTCTCATTGTCAGCTTTTCAAAACAAAGAAAGGCGTCTGAACTTTGCATTTCATTTAGCAAATGCTTGCCATATATGAGACGAATTGCTATTAAATTGCAAATTGCAAAGTAAACAATAAAATTATAAATCTGTAACGCCGAGTGCTTTCCTAAACGGTTGCTCTCTATTGAAAAATTAGTATGCAATCGTGTATTGTTAATGAATCGACGCGTAATCCCATTAAGCTATGACTATGTTTGTCTGTATTTCGAAAACAAAAATATTGCAACTGGTGCATTGCCACTACGATAGCTTTGCTATTGAATTAATTCATAACATTGACCGTGAATCTTCTGAAGGTCTTGTGTTTTTCCGCAAGTGGAAGAAAATCAATAGATAAGCTTTAGAAGATAACTGGTATAAAACAGTCTAGTTTAACAAACTAGCTTCATATTTATTATAATACTTTTTAAGTCTTTGTTTGCTTTTGTGTTTTGTTTTTTTTTAGCAGTTTGATAACGATATAGTGAGAGCGAAAGCGAATAAACATATTTATGTGCTTGGAGATAACTTTTTCACTCGCTGGTGTTAAAATTGTGTTTAAAAAATTTTATTTATATACAGGGTGGCTCTTAAGTGGTTTATATTTTCAATTCAAAAATTTTTGGGATACTTATTTTACAAAGTGTGTAACCGAACTTTATATATAAATCATTCAACGATTTGTAGAATTGAAAGTGTACATTCATATATTTAAATTTTAGGAAAACAAAAACCAATTTTGTGTTCTCTATATCGGAAAAACATTGAGACGCACGAATTGAATAAAAATTGTACGGTGGTGATTGTATGCGTCGTACTAAGTTTACACGTGGTTCACACGATTTAATAGCCGTTAGATTTAAATGACCAACAGTTGTGTCGTCCAGAAGCTAGTAATAGTGCTGATTTGATGAAGAAAGTCCGTGAATTTTCTACGAGAATGTTGGTTGAAGTATTAAATGCGAGTAAAAACTTTTGGAGAAATTCAACTCAAGATTTGGGTAAAAGAAAGATCTGTGAGCGTTTAGTTCCTCATGAATTAAATGAAAACCATAAAAGTGAAAAATGTTTGATAAAAATTCTTAATTTTATCTAAAAGTTTGGTTATTTTAGGACACACCTTGTATTTGAAAACTGAATAATTATATCACTCATAGAAAACTACTTCATTACAAAAGTTGCTAGAGTAACTTTTCTAGCTCTATTTGAAAAGTATTATATGAATGAAAGAAAGTCAATGTATGTGCTACCCTGTATGTAAGTTCGTTTAAAACATAGCAAAACAAATCAGAATCAGAAAAACATAACAATTATTTCGGTTTTACGCTGTCTTAAACATAATAAACACTAAATAATAATTTTACACACCAAGGTTTGACGATCAGTTTATGATAATTTTAACCTTATTTATATGATAATTGACTAAATTAGTAATTAAACTAAATTCAAATCAATTAATGAGTTCATTGGTGTAGGCATTTACTAATGGACTCAACTAAGACGTATAAAAACATAGAATACATATTTAAATCAATTAATTTGTTTATTGTTGTAGCAATTTTGTTAATTGACTTAATTAAGTCTTTAATGAGCACTCAATTAAGTCGATAATGAAACCAAAAGTGAACTCGCCAAGAAATCTCATATTTCAGCAACTACACGAAAATTTGCAACCCAATTTTGTTCTTTACAGTATCTTGCCTACTTCTCTGCTGTAACGCAATACTAACTTCCATCAGATTCTTTCAATTATAATACATAATCAAGCACCAATAAAGATAGCGGAATAAAACAATTGCTTAAATAATGTCACAATATATTAAATAGTATCACAATATATAATATAAAACGAATAAATATTTAAATTACTTAATTGATTCATAGTTGTAGTCAATTTGTTAATTAACTTAATTAAAACAAAGCGTAAGAATGGAAAAGTAAAATTTTTTTAAAGTAATTTAAATTAGTAATATAGTAACGACGTTTCATTTCTTTTACCACAACTTCATAATCTAACATACAAGTAGTCCCTATGATCTAAAACTGCATGATTTTTAAAGACTGAACCCTAGTCAGTGTTCTTAGCTTAGCATTCCAAAAATGACATTCAACTCAATTTAAAATATCACTTAATGGGTCTACCTTTTTAATTAAATAGTTTTTCAATGCCATTAATAGGAGCAACATAAACACTTCTAAGCATAAGTCATTGGCTTATATTTTATGAAATATTCTTTTCTGCTCATGTGATCCTTTATAAAAAATTAATCTAGAGTTAATTATGCAATTAGTAGTGTAGAGCAAATTTTTAGTCACACAAAATTTTTAGTCATACGTACTTAAATATTGTATATAAATAACTTTCAATAAAATATTTACCACAGCCACTTCGCCGGTAATATCTTTGCACACTTTACTTCTCACAAAATTATCGTAGAGATATATTAACACCGAAATTAACAGAATGGTCGGCATAAATAGCGTTAAGAGGGCGACCACTGACCAGGCGCGTAATTTTTTGAATGCATCAGTCGCCATTCGTAATGCAAGTATTTCGTTAAATATTTGTTATCAAATAAATATTTGTGCAGTAAATAAAGAAGAAAACCGTTGCGTTCTGCGCTACCGCTGAAATAGTACTGAGCCACTAAATGCAAGCTGTTGTCAGCAAGTAACTGTTGTTGTGTTCAAAAATTATTACCATTTTTAATCATTATTCATTTAAAGTGCTTTTATATGCACATAAATATTATGGCAGAGCGATTAATTACCTCAGTGATATTTTTGTACATCCTGTTCGGTATTATGTTTCCGAACTTTGACTTGTTCGATTTCGATGTTGAAAGTCAATAAACAAAATAATTACAGAATTATGAATTATTTTATTTATAACTCAATTATAATTAATTGTAAAAATTTCTTCAACAAAAGTTGATAGCTCTGTAAAGCAAAGGTGGCGAAAAATTATTTAAATAAAGTATGATTTATATTCGAAGTTCCTGTAAGGATTAGATTTGTAAGATATATAATCTCTTTTTTACGAGCAATTGTATTGTAAAGCATGGAATTGAGTACATTTTTACACTGCTTCTCTTCCAATGAGTATGCCGCAAAGTTCCCCGATTGGATTAAGGTCCGGACTAATTGCTGGCCTCCTCAATAAGGCGAGATTTTTCAATGCGTGAAATGACATCGTAGACCTAGAAAATCTGCAATATCAAATACTCTCTATGAAAATATTTACAAATGGTATAAGTTCGCTTTCATAGAGATTCGTATAAATCTGCAAATCTTTCCATCTTGGTAAGTAGCAAATAGAAGTTGTTTGCATGTACATATATAGTTCGTGACAGATTTAAGTCGGAATTTTTTATGACATATATATTGCCCCCTCTGTCGATTTATTTTTAAACATTGTTCTAAATTTAGCTCGTTACACCTGGTACAGCAGTAGGCCTCCCTGACGGCAATAAACTTCTGCTTCGCTTAAATTATCCTGTCTCGTAAATTTCACAACTTTGGGAACAAAAAAAAAAAAAATATCACACTGAGCCAAATCTGGAGAATATGGTGGATATGGCAGCAATTCTATTACTATAGATAAAATTTGTAAAATTTTAAAATTTTATCGCATTAATTTGAAATATTTTATAACCAATTTTTAATGTTATCTATAATAGCGATGTAGTTGAATGAATTGGAAATTATTCCAATTGCCCTGTATTGGCTACAAATGCAACACTGTAGTACCAGTCAAGAATTCAAGTCACGTCAAAATATCAGATTTTCTTAAAAAGTTCGTATGCCTTATGTGTGTTTAAATCTCCACTTTCTGATGTTGTCAAAAGTATACACATTACTGTGGTAAATTTTCTCCGCAAATGCAAAAAACACTAAACGATTCAAAGCTGATTAAAATCTAAAGAAAGTTTCTCTCTAATATATTAAATATAAAAAATACAATTTACTTGAGACATAAGTAGGCAAGTTTAAACCAAATTTCTCAAAAATTTTTTGCACAAGAAAAATTTAAAAAACAAAACTTAGAAATTTGAATTTTGCACAGAAATTATGAAGTTATGCGAAAAGGTATTCATACAAAAGTTGTAGATATTTTCATTATTTACAACTTCATTATCTACAACTTTTCCATACAACTAAAACATGATCGACATAAGCCGTTTTTGACCCTTAAAATCGACCGCGCCCCTTCGCTACCTCTTACTGACGTCAAACCGTCTAAACTAAAAATAGAAAGTTTCAAGTTTGAGACGAATTTTACAAAGATTTTGAATGGTTTTGAAATGCATCCGGAATGCATCGAATTTTTCAGGATGTTGCATTCTGCGGTTGTTTTTCTAGCATACACATACCAATCATCTCTCTTTTAAATCCATTCAAGGTCACCGGTGCGGCAGGTGGACTGGGCAAATGTATCGCTATAGAATTGGCCGCCAGGGGATGTCATGTCGCTATATGTGATATTAATTTCGATTTGGCTGTGACGACAGCTAAAGAAATCGCCAATAAGTATGGCGTCAAAGCAAAAGCTTATAAGGTGAGTGAACTAGAAGTTCGGTTCAAAACACTAAATTTAAAATCTGATTTTATTCAATAATGTCTCTTATAACAGGTGGACATCACCAAATTCGATGAAATTGTAGAACTCAATGAGCAACTAACCAACGACATTGGCGTCGCCACTATACTCGTGAATAATGCAGGGTTGCTGGTGCACTCTGATCAGCTAAATCCCACAGTGCAGGAAATTGAAGCCATGGTTAAGGTCAATTACTTGTCACATTTCTGGGTAATTTAAAGAATTACTTACATTTAATATATTCTAAAGTCATTTCACTAATTTTTTTTAGACAAATCGCGTATTTCTCCAAAACATGAAGCAAGCCAAACGAGGCCATATTGTGGCCATCAGCTCGTTGGCTGGTAATTCTTATAATATAAATTGCTTATCAGTTAAATTCAAAGTACATTTCCTCAATTCCGCACAGGTCTGATTACGCTGCCACAAGCCGAACCATACTGCAGTGCTAAGACCGCCGTGCGCACTCTAATGCGTGTCTTACGCGCTGAACTGAGACTAGCCGGCATTACGGGCATTGGCACGACCACAGCATTTCCCTTCTTTTTGCAAACTCACGCAAGGGTGGAAGAGCTTATTCAGGACACTGGTTATGCAGAAATGTATCCAATTTTAAAGGGCGAAGATGTGGCTGAGCGAATTGTGCGTGGCATGCTGCGTGGTGAAGTGGAGATTGCGATACCCGGATTCTTTATGATTATCTATCGCTTTATAACGTATGTAATATTATTGAAATATGTGCAGAAAGTTAATTTTTATACTTTTTTTGTAAATGAAATTGTAGGCTTTTGCCGGCACGAGTTAAGGATTGGTTCTTCACTGTCCATCATTAGCTAGTTTTATTCACCAACGCGTGTTGACATCACTAAAAAGGCAATAAATTTATGTTTTCTTGGTTTATAAATGTAGTTAATTTCTCAAATAAATATTATAGACCAGTCAAATGATTTTTTAATTGAATCTTCTTAGTCCACAAACTATAAACCCTAATTTTATACAGTTCCGAGAATGATCGCCGATTGCAAACCATCTAAGTCTTTGGATACCAAAATAAATTTCATACAGAGAGAGGTTATCTTGAAATTTTTACCTGCTCTGGATTATCTAAAAGTAAATTGAACTGTTGTTAAACGTTAGAGAGAAGCAACATTCTATGGCTAAAGGCATAAGATTCAATGATGAGATGAGGAAGCTGTATTATCGTTATGAAGTCATCGGCTGTGATCGGTACTTTCATGTCTCGCTAAGTAATTGCAAATTTTATTAAAGAATTTTTACAAAAGAAGGCCTAGTAAAAACAATGGATTTTAAAATAAAAAAAATCGCACTGTCGGTATAAAAAACTAATTTTACACAAATAAAATAGTTCTGAAGAGAATTTTTTAATGACACCAAGGTAATGTTTGGTGGGATTAGAAGATCGAGGTGAACTAGGAAATAGAAGCGAGCGATTGAAGGCAATAATTTTCCGTCATGACAACACACGGATGGAAAACAGCGGTTAGGAAGATTTGATCTTGATCCTGATCGATTTTGAAGCGAAACTTTTTATCTTAGATATCTAGTTGGTGATTTTAAATTTTCGTCCGGCGAGTCACAGTCCGATTCAATAATAAGTACATACATCAAATTTTATATAAAATATCTAGACGAAGCCAATATTTTAACTAGTGCACAGTTAAGGGACGTTTAAGTTTTAAAATATGATTTTCATGACATAAAATCCAACTCTATACTCTTTTGCAACCAGCCTAGAATAACTCATCTATTTAAATGCGCACGAGGTCAAAGACCGTCAACTCAAAATCATTGCACTCTCACAAAAAAAAAAATAAAGAAAACAACAAAAACAAAAATGCGCAACAAACAACCGTTAAAGCCACTCATGCGCATTCCGTTTGCTATTTTGGTACACAAAGCAGCGGTCGCGCATGAGCCCTGCAGCGCCAATGCACAGCGCACACGTGCACACACACACAGACACATGTACAATAAGAGAAACAACAAACGAGCAATGAACCGCCACCATAAAAATAACAAACCGACTGCAGTGCGCGAACATCAGGTGCCATTGCCACAACCAAAGCTACGAGCGGCCGGCTTGCCGCTATCGTTGTCTGCACGAAATGCTATTTGCTAATGCTGGGGGTCTTTTGAGGCGACGATTTGCTGCACCGCTACTCGTACGCCACCGACTGTCATAATTGTTATTAGAATTTCACTGCGCGTCTAGAGTTTACGGCAAGCAGAAGTGCAGCTTTGAAGATACAGAGTGTGTTCGTCGATGTGTGTGTGTGTGTGTATGTGCGTGTATTAATTACAAATATTTATGTAGCGCTAAATCTGTTGCAGCTCAAAACTCCAAAACTCTGGGGTTTACGTTGCATGCCGCATGTTGCATGCTGTTTGCTGCTTACTGCTTGCTGCTGTCATGTGACAAGTGCATTTGAAACGCCCTGCTCCTGTCGGTCTCCTCCACACAACAGAACCGCACTTTATTGCTCTTTGCTCCGTTCTACTCCTTTAACTGCCTCTTCAAATCACTCTGCACAACTTTTTTTTTAATGACAATTTCAATTAATTTTGTGGAGCTCCAGAAAAATTATACTTGCAACCGATTCATATTAAGGGCGCAGGGGGTCCAATACGATGCAAACGCAATGGAGTTGTTGGTATTATTATAAAATCTTTATTTTTTGTGCATTAACGGCACTTAATGGCGCACATGCACGTAAATATCAGACAAAATGTTTATAATTGTAATGTAAATATATATGTACGTTTGTATGCGCTTGCTTAGAAGTGCATAGGTATTTAAAAGCCTCTAAACCATCATAGATGTGCTGAGTTTGCATAATTAATATTGTAGTTTATTGTATTCCAGCTATGAGCTAGCAGCGAGATATATAAGTTCAAGCAGAAGGTTACAGTTGGAGAACTGTGCTTAGTAATCACTTTTTTCGAATTCATGATTATTATTTTAATAATCGAAAAAATTAATTGTTGGATGGCGCCTAGAGATGTTTAGAATTTGTTACATTAATCAGACAGTAAATTAAATTTTTTTTTACACAAAAAACGTACTTTGTTCAGCAACTTATTTTGATCAAAAGGTCTGGAGACAGTGGTTTCGGATTCTTTGCTACATTCGAAAAATAGTAAAATTATGCCAACGATTTCTAGTCTAACCAATCCTTAAGCAAACTTTTTACACTAGATATCGGTATTTTACTAAGGTAAGAAGTTTTGAAAAATCAGTTTAGTACAATTACAATCAAGAATCGCTTCACACCGAAACAACTCGCCGAAATACTTGCGCTTTACATTGAGAATAGACCAATAGTTTTATGTTAGCATCATGTGCATATCATAGAGATCCATTTTACTGTCTTATCAATAGCAAAATTCCGTTCTTGGAAAAAAAAATTATTTTGAAGTTTATGAAACATTGCTGCATGTTCAAAAAGTGAATGTTTGGGACACCATTTTTTTTTTCAACGAAGCAAACCCATCAACGAAAAGTAATATCGATTTATGTTATTTATTATGTCTACCCGAAAAACCGTTAAAAAATCTAAGCGGTTACTGATTTAAACAAAACAGTAGACCAGGTGAATTAAATAACAAAAAAAACGTTATATTTGACTACACCGAAGCTATAATATCCTCCCCAGGTCAGTTTATATGGCAGCTATATTCTATAGTGGTCCAATATCAGCGGTTCCGACAAATAAACAGTAGGGGAGAAGAAGACATGTGTAAAATTTCTGTTGGTTATCTCAAAAACTGATCGACTAGTACGCGTATATACAGGCAGACGGCCAAACGGACGGCTAGATGAACGTGGCTAAACGACTTAGCTAGTCACCTTGATCATTTATATACTTGTATAAACTTTATCTCTGACGTTTCCTTCTGGATATTACAAACTTAATATGCACTATTCAGGGTAGAAAAATATCTCAAATATAAAAGGCGGTTGTTTTAAATTTCAAAGCTATTGAATGTTCAAATACCTACAGAAACACAATATATACTTAATGCTTACATATTAAGGCCGATGATCATGGATACGCATTGATAAAGTCAGTAGTTCAAAAGAGATACATAGAAATAAATTTTTAAATAACTTTAAATTTAATCACAAAATATAAATATAATGAAAATCCCGTAAGTTTTAGATTACAACGTGTTTTGTCTGAATTTCAAACAAATAGAGAAATATGAAAAATATATACATCTATAACATAACCTCTCTAACTGTCTATCAATATGGAAAATATAATTACAATAGAGAGAACTTTTGCTGCCTCGGAAAGCTGCTGCTTGATCAACCAAATATAAGAGTGAATAATAAATATTAATCAAAGCATCGTTAATGAGTAAATTTGCTGACTTTAACACATAAGTATAGTTAGTCAACATAGATATGGTTATTTCGTATATTTACCAATACTCAGTATTTAATTAGCCATGCGGCTATTATTAACTTGCTAACAGGTTGTTTCAAAACCTGTGGACTGCAAGTTTACCGTTTTATACGTTTTAAGTTAAATACAGGTAAATTGTGTGAGATCGCCTAAAAGTATGCGATAAAAATTGATTTTGAAATAAAAAACTAAGTACGAATAATTGCAGGTGCTATAGAAGGTTCTAATGGCATGACATTTCAAGTAAGCAAGAACGAATTGTGGAAGCTAAGCATTGCTGCTCCGAACATCACTGCTCAATTAGCTTTGAAAATTGCAGTTGTATGTCTACATTGTTTTTTCTGAAACTATTTCAAAATTTTAGCGATTTACCTTATAGATGTTAAATTGAAAAATTCTCGATCTCTCGATGTGACAGGATTTTAAATAATGGCAAACACTGTTATCTTGACTTGAGCTAGCATCACTTAACACAATTTGACAATTGTCTCACAAAATGCAAAACCAATGCAATAATTTGCAATTTTACTAATTTTTCACACACGAATCGGAAACATGTAAGCAACAACTGAAATGGCGGCGGAAACTGACAAAGTATATAACAAAATAGTGTTGCCAGTACGTTGAAAAAGTATATGCCATAATGCATTGTATAGATTGTTACAGATTTTTATTGAAAACCTTATTAAGGTGTCTTGAATAAGTTGTGAATGACAGGAAAAATTGTTGGTATGTATTTTTGTAGGTCTATAGCCTTATCCATAACAAATTAACTTATGAAGTGGCTTCAAGAGGACATTTAAATATACAGTATATATAAATTTGCTCACTTTTTAACAGTCTGGTAAGACTTCTCTTAGGACACTTCTAATATCTGTCATATATCTTGTGCTTAAAAGTAATTTTGGCTATAATAATATTCCATCAAGGCGTTCACTATGCGTAACAATTGCTGCGTTAAGTTAAAATAACGTAATTAAAACCTAAATGACTGTAGTTAAATGAAAATTTGTACTAAAATTAGTTGTCTTAACTACGTGGAGGTGTAATAAAGGCTGCATAAGTAAAGAAATAGAAAATAGGTTAAAAAAATTGCAATTTTCCTTGGAGTATAAACTGATAAATTTGTATTTTACTATCGAACTATTAAATTTACTAATGTAATCTGTAAAAATTCTTCAAAAATATTTTTAATTAAAAAGTTGATTCATGAGTTTTTTTGTCATAACATTTCAGTTAAATTCGATTAGATGGTATATTATTGCATTTACACACGTCTGTAGATTTATATGTATATTATGTATTGCTTATACAATATATTTAATTTTATTTTTGATTAAATCAATATTTTTAAGAAAAAAATAATATAAAATTAATTTTACATTACACAACCAACAATCTGTCAAAGTAAATACAACTCAATGCATTTTCAGTTTCCTCGCCATTTTAATTGTTGTTTTCGTTGCGCTGAAGAACAATTATTAAAAATTTTGATTTTTACCATCAAAATCGAT